ATATGATCCTAAGGTCATTGATTTGACATCAGGTCAAGTTCACTACAATAATGTGTCAGCCTCACGGACAGAGATTGGAAGTTGGTTCCACAAGAGAGGAGCCTGATAACTGAGAGATCTTCCTCCCATTCTGTTTTTGTACATTCTAGGAACCACAAGTAAACCTGCAGTCTGAGAGCAAAGTGCTCTGTTAGGAAAATATGGAACAATAAGATCTGTAATATAAGATGGAGCCAGGTTGTTGAGAGCTTTGTAGGTTAGAAGTAAGATTTTGAATTCTATTATGGATTTGACAGGGAGCCAATGGAGAGGAGCTAAAACTGGAGAAATACTAAATACTAACTTCGGTTAAGACTCTGGCAGCAGCATTTTGGATCAACTGAAGATGTTTTAAGGAAGTATTTGGACATCCAGATAATAAACCATTGCAATAGTCCAGTCTAGACGTGACAAATGCATGGAAACGTTTTTCTGCATCAGTTTTAGAAATGCTTTTAATATTTAAAGTGGTAATTAGAGATAGGAGTGTTATTTGATTATGTGGTACAACACCTTACCATACATCATACAGCTTCAATGACAGGCGGAGTTAATGACACTGTAAGTTGTTGTGCATCAGCCTCTAACCACTGGCACGAACCATGCTCCATATAAAACCTGAGCTTCATGTAAAACTGACGGCAGCACACCAACCAGCTGCATCTTCTGCACCTGTGTCCTCGCAGAAGCTTCAGCAGAGGCGACTCAGATCATCTCGGCCATCGGGGAGGTCCCATCGGTTCCTGCTCCATGTGACACCGAGGCAGCAGCAGGAACAAAGGTTGCAGGTCAGCCCTCCACCACACCACACTCACAGCTCATCCTGCTTAAACTGTCACTCTTTCTGTTCATATCCGTGTGTCTTTTAGCAAAATATCTTATAAAACCACTGGACAGATTTCAATGAAGCTTTCATAAAATAATCCTTCAGTGTATATAATTAAGATGTGGTGAGTCTAAAATACCCAGTTAGGTTTTTGGCATTACTCTGTCCATCTGTGCATGTTGTAAGCATGATCACTTTAAACTTAGGGTGGTACCGGCTTCCATTTTGTTGTGTGGCTACATCTCAGCCCAAGAAAGGTTGAAAACAGGGTTTCCACTTCAAATCCAAGATTGCTGCCAATATAAATGTTATGTTCTATTTCGTATAGGCTTCACCCTTTAAGGCTATCACTAGTGGGTTTATCCCTTCACAAGCAGTGCAGCACTGAAAACTTAAGTCCGCACCCACCGGCTGTGTGGACCCCACCCCCGGTCCATATAAATTATGGTGAGACCAGGCAATCGGCTCCCATTTTTTCTTCAGCCAGCTAGCTAGCACTGTCAGAAGAACGAAGATGTCCAGCTTTGACCGGCACAACATTTGCGAAGGATGCCTGGGTCTCCGCCACGCCGACCTCCTGCTGTCCTTGTGAGCTCTTCCTCCCTGAGGAGAAGCGGAGACGAGCAGCCTTGTTCAAGGTAAGTGCCGAGGAGTGTTTTTTCCATGGCGGGCCGCTACTCGCTGGACGACACATCGCCTTCTCTAATGAGTTTCCTTGCCATGAATCGGATGATTCCCTCGAAAAAGGCGATGCGGGCAGCAGTTCCACTGAGTGTTTTTCCGTGGTGGGCCGCTACTCGCTGGACGACACCATCTCCTTCTCTAACGTGTTTCCTCATGGTGAATCGGATGATTCCCTTGAAAAAGGCGATGCGGGCAGTAGTTCCGCTGAGTGTTTTTTCCGTGGCGGGACGCCGCCACCGTCTTTCTTTGACGCAGAGTCGCGCAGTGAATCGAATGATTCCTCCGTGAAAGGCGATGCTGGAAACAACATTGCTGCCCCTTCCCTCCTGGAGAGAGTAGTGACGGAAGAAGAGCGGCCGAGCGAATGCTCAGCCACCTCGGGTCTTCCCACGTCGGCGACCACACCGCTCCCAGCCGTCGGTACCCTCCTCTCATAGCTGCCCGGCATAATCCAGGAGGCTACTAACACAATGGGACTTTCCGTCCCTCGCCTCCCTCCGCCCCAATCGGATGATCTGGCGGGAATGTTTGGCTCCGCCCCGGCTCGTCGCCCTGACCCCATCTTGCCTCGCTGTCCAGCTGTGACGTCACACTGGAATGAGGCTGCAGCTGGGCCCGGCAAGCTGAAGATATCCATCTCCACCATCGCCTCCATCTCAAGAGTGGAGGGTTTTACCGATTGGTGTTTTTCCCTCGGTTCCCCCCCTAGAGACGAGCCTGGCGGTGGCACTTGGGTCAAAAGCTTCCAGGATGGACCAGCAACCTGTCCCTTCAGGGAAGCATGACCAGATGGTGACAAAGTTCTCCAACCGAGCTCACCAGTGCTCATTCCAGGCGGCTGCGTCGAACAACAACGTCGCCCTGCTGGCCGACAGCATCTCTAATGCCCCTTTTCCATTAGTACCTGTAGTACCGGTACAGCACGGCTCTACTCTACTCGGTACGGTACAGGTTGTGTTTCCATTATGCTTTCAGTACCGGTTCCAGTGTGCGGGGTTCAAATTGACGTCATCACCTCTCACCAGCTGGTGGCGCTGAGACGCTGAAACTGTTTTCAATACAGGGTGAGAATTTATTTTGAAGTTGTGTGTATGTATGTATGTGTGTATATATGTGTGTGCCTATATATATATATATATATATATATATATATATATATATATATATATATATATACACACAAACTGGATT